ACATTTTTGCTCAAGCTTCCTGAATTGTATGGTAGTGTTTAGCCTTCTTTCGCATGGCGCACATATCTGATGAGGAAAGCCACTTTCTTGCCGCAATTCACCAACAAAAATTGTCTCTGTGTTGCGAAGAATTGGGTCAGCAACAGAATTACAAAGCCTACTTATTGGCTATAATGCGAAATATTGGCCATCGATTCTTTTTTTTGTAGAATTTCTTTGGCATCTCCTTGCTAAGCCATCGATTCGATTGAATGATAAACTTTCGAAATTTCAGCTTAATTCCATGCTCAAAACTTTGATTCAATACCTTATCTTATACATCTGTTCCAAAACAGGATGTAATCAATTTCAAAGTTTTCTTGTTTTTAATTGATTTATTCCACCAGTTAATAATCGCAAGTAACAACCAAAATCGCAATATTGTTAGGAAAAATTTCAGTGTGCTCCTCTGCCACCCCTCACTCAGTACTAATTTAATTTTCCCCAGATTTTGGGGATTTTCAAGAGTCACATGACCAGCAGTAACCAGGGTTTTTCCTTGCCTCAAGCGTGATAAAAACCCTGGCTTGTGAGGTTGTGATGGCAGAAGGATTTGCCAAACCGAAGTTATCTCAAACAGAAGTTTGAGATTTATATTGTTGTGTCAGGTTATGACAAGAAAACCTGTATATTGTTAAATCTCACTGGCGAACAAGTGATAGAAACTTACAACACGTTTACATATACCGAAGAGGAAGATACTGATGTTGTTTAGGAGAGAACGTGCGATCGTTTAGACTTTAATGTTTATAAATAGGACTATTATAATTAGCAATTTAAGTGCTTTTGGCTGCATGGGACGTTTGTCAATTAGGTAATGTTTATGCAAATATATGATTAGGCGATGCTTTTAAAAACAGAAAAATACGATAAAAATTAGTTAGTAAGTTCGTTTCTGATTGAAAGATGTAGAAATAATGTCTAAAGAGTTTTGAATATCATCAAGTTCTTCAGAACAGATGTTGTAATAAAAAAGTTTGAAGAGCATTGTAATCCAAAAAGGAACGTTACATATCCACTCTCCTCTGCAGAGCCTTACGAATTTTTAGTAAAATTGCATAATATTAAGGGGGGGGGGACAAATTACGCAAGGTATGATGGGAAGACGGAAGCCACATAAGGCTCTGCCATATAATGTTTCCAAAATGGCGTCAAATTGCAGATTAAGGTCATTAAGAATATTAAATTTCTTAATCCTGCGTCTTCTCTGGTCTTCTCATGAATTATTCATGGCAGATTACTCGAGTGTTTTGTCTGTGACAAATAGACCGTTTCAGGACGCAAAAGTTTGTGGTAAATTGGTCTGTTCAAAGTGTATAGAGAACAACGAAGGAGTAAAGTTTTTTTTGACGATTTTGGACGATCCTTGAAATTCGATGACAGTATACACATTGAATGTAGGAGACGATTTCGAGAGCTGCACGCTGATGAAACGCTCCATGTACGTGGTGAAACAATTGTCGAATCTGCGGTTGGAGACGGTATGTAAATATTAAATATATTAGTTTTGACTGAATAAACTATATATACAGCACTATAAAGTATGTATTAATTGGTCATTCCACTCGGTGTTTAACAGGTAAACATGTTCACACAAGCTTTATACAAACTCTGGTGGTATTAATGGCCATTAATTATCCTGCCAACAAGGGGTTACAAGGCAACGACCAGGTTCATCCAAGAGTTGCAAATTTATATAAAAAGTAAACACAAATCTTGTTAGGAATTGGGATCTATTCCAAATCAAATGCTAGAATAATAATATCAAACTAGCCACTGAATTGAATATCATATTACAATATTTTCAAGTCCCATGCATTGCCAAGTAATATATTTTATAATTTTTCCATGTTTGAAAAGTATTTTTGTGCAAGTGAATATAACAACAAATCCTACAGGTTACCACTGATAAAGAAATAAGCAAATTTGAAATAAATTCAGTCCCAAAAAAGAAAACACAAAAGACTTGTGTAAAACTACTAAAACAATTATTCACCTCATTCTTGGTGATTATTCGGAAAAGACTTCTCTTTTGGCAAATAATTGTTAAATATTGACAAAAAATAGTTGATCATGATACTCACATGCCAATAAAAATGAATCTGCCATTGATTGCAGCACTCTGTCATAGCATAGTTAATAGAATAGATGGTTTGGAAACTCATTAGAATAACAATATAACCAATTATCTATGTTAGTCAACGTTTATTCATAAATCTGGTCCTTCATCATCACATGTGTATTGTATTTTTGCCAAATCTACCAATAGCAATTTCTAATTTACCCTATTGTTTGAGTCACAGATAGGTAACTTTCCTAAAACATTGCTAATGGTTAGTTGGGCAAAAATACAAATTACGCATGTGACAGTGGACATAAATAATGAGTTATGTTGTTATTCTAATGAGTTTCCAAACCATCCACTCTATTAACTATGATCATAGGGGAGTGAATGTTTGGCATTAGACATATTGAAAAAGGAAAGTATGGTGCAATGCAACTCAATGTGTTCAAAACATCTATTTTGAAATTTAAAATGTTTGAGTTTGCTTTTTTAATAACTTACCATTTGTAGCAGTCTAGTTAAGGCCTGTTTTATATGTCAAATTTTGGTTGCATTGAATGCAATTCAAACAATAGGTAATGAAGCTTGATGAGGTTTATCATCTCATTGGGTCGTTCCAGAAAAGATCCATACTCCCCCACGGAGGAAATTTAAGCCGTCTGGAGGGGGAGGGGAGAAAAGATTGTTTCGGATAATAGTAAATGTATTAGGACATCCAAAGGGGGTAGGGGGGTTAACTTCCTATTCGTCCGTGGGGGTGGTATGGATGTTTTCTGGAATGACCCATTTGTGCATATAAAATGTCATTACAATTGATTTGATAAAGATTTTTTTGTTTGCAATTCATTTCACCTAACATATTTGTGTTTGAATCCTTTGAGATTGGTTTGCCCCACATGACTGACTAATCTCTTTTTATCAATGACGTGGTGTGGACAAATGCCATTAAACAATCCATTGAAGATGCCATGTTACCACTTACTTACTTAATTACATTGTTATTTTGTCCTGATTGCATAAGCCACATTGCTCAGCAGGTGACATTGCAGCTTAAACCTGGCAATGCACTGGTCATTAATAGTGCACTGAACAGTAAACACTACAACTTGATGAAAGGGTAGATCCAAACTAATAAACTATTACTGTGCAGAAAGTTTTTAAAGGGTATGAGCAACAAAAAAAATTATTGCTTCATCTGAAAGAGCATGAAAACATAAGCTGATTGGCCTTTAATGCTCTATTCTATCTCATCTGGTTCCGAAGTTATACGCAAAAATGTGCAAAATATAAATTGCTGATTCAGCACAATGTGTGCTGTTGTTGCTCATACAGTACCGCTCAGAATTAACCTAACAAAAACCGCGGTTTAACCTCGGTTGAACCTCGGTTTGACCGCGGTGATTTAAATGTTTGACCGAGGTTATACCGCGGTAATTTTGAGGTTAAACCGTTTGACTGCAACTGAACCGCAAGCTTCGTATATACTTGTAATAACATTCGTAAATATTCGTGTATTTCCGAAGGGGTCAGTATAAAAACTCCGTGTGTGCTTTATAAATATTGACATATTTTGTAAACATTGAGGCATGGGGAGGCTGTCGCTTTATGCCAGGGAGCGAATTGTCTCCTTACTTTTGACAAATACTTCAGTTGTTGGAATATCTAAGAGTTTAAACGAAGGGTAAAGGCAAATAGGTCTCTTTTTGTTTATTGCAGTTTAAATAGATGTTTTAGAATAAGTAAGAATTCGGCGCGCACATCAACTTAAATTAACTTTCCTCTTTAATATAATAAAGGCTAAAGGTTACAACGTGTGTATCTAAAAGGTAAATAAAATCTCGGCCTTTTAGGCACATGCCCACGTTATAACCTGGAGCCTTTATAATAAAACTTTATTATAATTAACAATCTAGCCTTTATTATAAAACTTTATTATAATCGACGATCTGCTGTAGCTCTTATTATAATTGAAGCTGACACCACAGCCTTTAAGCTTTCTCTTAGCTGTTATATTATAGCCCGAGTTAGCATTTTATTAATGAAGACATTCTATACCGTGAATATTTTACTGCTTTTGGTCGGAAAACCTCGGAATGAGAATGCATATTAAAACCGCGGTTAGCTTCTTGCCGATGCGTGGGCTAAACCGCAAAAAAACCGCCCGATAACCGCACTTTAACCGCACGCTAACCGCAAAACGACCGCAACCGCAGTGTTAGGTTAATTCTGAGCGGTACTGTACCCTTTAAATTAAACAACAAATAACAATAATACTAATAATAAATTTTATTATATGGACAATGGTGTTTTACTGGAAACTAAAACACTCGTAGAACTCATACGTCACTACATCCAGGGCCAGGTGCGCGTATTTTCCGTATTTCACCCCTGCTAGTGACATACGAAGTTCTAAAATTTCCCGCCATTTTCATTGTTGTTGTTTTGAAAATACAAATGGTCTTTGGTTCGTATTTAAAACGAAATTAACGTTGGAAATAAAACGAAAACATTTAAAAAACATCTTGAGATAAGTAAAATTTATTCTAGTTTTATGTTTGGACTATAATTTAAAAAAAATATCGCTTTTATAGTGGTCTTTCGCGTGCTTATTTACATGTCGTCTTTGTGTGTATTTTTGTCATTCTGAGTAAGTATATAATAAACAGAACATTAAACGGTTGCGAGAAGATATGGATTTATGTTCTCATGTCAAAAACAATATCTCACTCGTTCGCTGCGCTCACTCGTGAGATATTGTTTTTGACACTCGAACATAAAATCCATATCTCTTTGCAACCATCTAATATCCTATATATATTTATTATGATTATAATTGCTATGTTAACCTATATAGTAGTGACTATGGTAACATACAGAAATCTTAATTATTCTACAGAAGAATTCCATGGAAGATATGTTGGAGCATGAAGTAATGTACACAGAATATAAAGTGTCATTTGGCAGTGATAGTAATTGTTCCAATGATGCCATCACTGTTGCTACCAAAAGTCGCCGAGAAGCAGCAAAATTGTATGGTTTAGTGCTTCATCACAAGGGTATTCTTAACAAGCTGGGTGGTGACCCTTGCTATGTAAGAGTTCAGGAATCCGAAAATTTGGATGAGAGGGGCCAGTATTTTAAACTGTGGAGTGCAACAGAAAAGATTTATGCTGAATGTTTCATTTCACCACAAACAGTAAGTATCTGTTGATTATATAGTATTAATAGATAACAAATAGATTTAGCAAGTTTTTGTTACTGGTACAGAGATTTAATAAGTTCACTTAGGATTCCCTATTTTCGCAATGGAGAAATCTTAGGCAATGTAATTATCATCATGAAGACAGATGATTGTCAGAATCCAATATTTATTAACAATAATGATTACAACATCAAGTAAAGGATTCTCAATCATTTCGTTGGGTAGAAAATTTTTAATTCTCACACACTACTGGGAGCTGCTGCAGCATTATCACAAACATTATTACATAACCTGTCCATTATAGCTTTTCTTAATAAAGGTGAGCAGGTGGGACTCATGTTAACAGTTAGGCCATGGTGACTGGTGAGCAACAACAGAAATTTGCTCATCTAACCTGCACCACCCAATAACATCCTAATTGCCGCCCCATCAGTGTGTGAGAAAAATTTTCCGATTCTTTTTCGTACCTCAGTAATTTTTAGCTCACCAATTATACAGTAGCAATGATAGTACATTGTAACTACAGTAAGGCTACAGGCATTTTAGAAAATCTACCTAATTATACAGTGTGTCATATTTTAGCCAGCACTTTACCCTTGATAAGTTCAATCATCTGTTGTGATACTGGATAAAGTAACAAAGTGTGCCACATTAAAGTGCAATGCTACTTAAAGAATTAACAACAACACATTGCATGGGCAGATTAATTGCTAAGAAATACTTTCTTTTTAGTGTTCTGTTGAAAGTGGAACATTGCCAACAATTCCAGAGGGTATTTCAATGGACGGTGCTGCAAACCAGAGCTTTTCAAAATGTATGACAAGTCTGGACATTTTAAAAAATGTGTTTGGATATCAAAAGTTTAGACCAGGCCAATCTGATGCTATTCAAGCTCTTGTATCCGGAAAAGATACCATTGTTGTGATCCCAACTGGTGGTGGGAAAACTGTAACGTTTGTTTTACCATGTGTAATGATACCTGGCATAGCAATTGTGGTGTCTCCACTTGTTATGTTTGATGCATGATCAAGTTTCAAGACTGCGTTCTCTTGGAATAAATACTTGCTATTATAACACCCTTTTATCTGACAGTGAAAGACAAAATATCTTGCACCATTTACGAGAACCTATGTGCCAGTATCAATTCGTTTTCATTAGTCCAGAAGCGGTAATGACCGAACAATTTCAAAATTGTTTGGAGAAATTAAAACATGACAATCGTTTGAGTTTTTTTATAATTGATGAAGCCCACTGCATCGATACTTGGGGAAGTGACTTTCGTCCTGCATACCAGCTGCTAGGAACATTAAGGAAATTTGATGTCCCTTTTGCTGCTCTAACTGGTACAGCTACTGGACACACCATAGATGTAATCCGATCAACTCTTCAAATGAAAAATGAACAGGTTGTGAAAATGCCATGTCGACGAGATAACCTTCACTAAAATATTATTCCTAAAAAGGAAAGCCAATCAAAGCAGCAAGTAGCAAACATCATAAGCAAAGAACATATGAACGAGTGTGGTATTGTGCAACCCAGGCAGACACTGTGGAAATGGCTTACGTGTTAAAAGATCATGGCACACTTGCCACATTTTATCATGCGGGTTTAGATAGGAACGAGCGTTTACAAAATGCCTCTTTGTGGTTATCTGGGAGTGTACCAGTGATATGTTGCACGAATGCATTTGGAATGGGCATTGATAAAAAGGATGTTCGTTTCATCATGCACCTTACACAACCAGCGTCATTAGAAGATTATGTGCAAGAATCTGGTCGGGGTGGTAGAGATGGAGAAACTTGTCACTGCGCGCTTTTCTTCCGATTTGGAGACCGAGCCTTCCACTTGCGAAACATAGGTCGGATTGAGTCAAAGGCTACAAGTGAAAACAAGTTAAAACGGCTAAATCAAATCACACAGTATTGTATAAAGAATTCAGTGTGCAGATTACAGAGCACAGCTAGATATTTTGGAGAGGATGAAGGCGAATGTTGTGGCGTCTGTGACGTCTGTCAGAAGGGAAGTGTACTGGATGCAAAAGACTGCACAGATGAAGCAAAGAACTTGCTAAATTGCCTTGCAAGCTTGATTGCCAATTCAACCAAGAGTAAAGTTATCGGAACTATCTATGACGTGCATGGGTTCAAAAGCCAAAGAAATAACAAGTAAGGGATTTCATGTTGTTCCTTTGTATGGCAAAGGTAAAAACACCTTCAAAAACATTGTGACTGTTACAAAGTTTGTGCAACACTTGATATTTCAAGGAATAATTATAGAAAACTTCCCACATGTCGAAAATAGGATGTCATCAACAACGCACCTCACACCTGGAATTGTAACAAATATTGAAGTTACATACAGTATGTAAAATCTTAGTTCTATTTCGTCATCAGTTACGTCACTAGGGAGTCACATGAGATATGCATGCGCAGATCGAGTATTCATTTTTGCACGTGTCGTTCAAAGTATTCAGTTGCAAGTTTTATATCATGGAGAATTTCGATTCAGAAAAAGTTGAAAAACCGACTGCCGAAGTATCGTCCGGTCAAAGTGAGGAAGACGACCTCTTTGCCGAAGTGGATATCGACGGATCCAACGAGAATGACGACTTACCGGCGAAATCAAGCAGTTTTCTATGGCAGTTAAACCAGTCCTTACATACAATGGTTGGCTCGATCGTGGAAAAATCGCTAAAACGTCTCCACGAAGACAAGACACCTCCGGCGAAACGAAAGAAACCTCGCCTGGCTACAGAGACAACTGGACCTGAGGAAGTAGAAGAAAACCAGAGCAGCGACGAAGATACACTTTGTGGCCCATCAAATGCCGACTCGGCAGAAAGCTCTCAAACCACAAGCGCTCGACTCGAGCAAGACACTGACAATTGCAATGACTCATTGCTGTCAGAAATTGAAAATGGTTTCTCTCAGGAGGACGATATGGGCCCGGCTATCACAGAGAAACTCGCTACCATAATCAATAAGCGTTGGTCTGAAAAACTGAGCGATCAAAAGCTGAAAGAAAAGTGGGATCAATACCCCCACCCAGACAACTGTGACAGACATGTGGCGCCACGCATTAACCCAGAAATCTGGGCGAGAATAGACCACACTGCAAAACAGTTGGACCTTCGCGCCAGCACAAACCAATCTAATCTGGCCAAAGCTGGAGTTGTCCTGGCAAAATCAACCGACAAACTTTTGTCACTTTATCAAAAAGACTCGAAGCCACTTAAATATTACAAATATGAAATCATATTTTCAGACCAAAATTATGCACTTCCAGAGTGGTCAAATATCGAAACACATTGCCAAATGGCATGAGATTACCTCTGACCCAGAGGTTTTAGATTCGGTTCGTGGACTTCACATTGAATTCTCGACCAAACCTCATCAAACTCATACTCCTAAAACATATCAGACCACTCACCTTGCTGAGGTAGATAATGAAATTGCCAAACTTCTGAGAAAGGGTATAATAGAAAAATCACAACATGAACTGGGAGAGTATATCTCCCCCATATTTCTAAAGGAGAAAAAAAGATGGATCATACAGAATGATCCTCAATCTCAAACGACTAAATGCTCATGTTCAATACCACCATTTCAAAATGGAGTCTATTCAGTCAGCCATTAGACTGCTGACACCAAACTGTTTTATGGCATCAATAGACCTGAAGGATGCATACTACTGTGTCCCAATAGCAAGCTTCCACCACAAATACCTAAAATTTGAGTGGAATGGGTCACTGTACCAGTTTACTTGCTTCCCCAACGGCCTAGCCTGTTGCCCACGCAAGTTCACAAAACTAATGAAGCCAGTGTTTTGTTACCTCAGGAAATTGGGTCACGAATCCTCCCCTTACATTGATGACTCATTACTAACAGGTCAAACCTATGATGACTGTGCAGCTAATGTGATTGACACAACACAGCTCATAGACAACTTGGGGTTTATAGCACACCCTGACAAATCTGTTTTCATCCCCACTCAAGAATTAGACTATCTTGGTTTCACACTGAACTCCAAAACTATGCGGGTGACTGTAACACCTGGAAAGAAGTTGAAGCTCATAGAAACATGTAAGGAACTCCTTACGAAAGAATACCCTACTATCCGTGAGGTTGCTAGGGTAATAGGCTTGCTCATCTCAAACTTTCCAGGTGTTGCAATGGGACCACTATACTACAGACTTTCTGAAGCTGACAAAATTGCAGCACTTAAACACAACAAAGGAAAGTTTGATGCCACTATGCAACTCTCTGCTGAAGCGAAGGAAGAACTTGTGTGGTGGATAGATAACATTGACACTGCATTCAACCCAGTGCATAGGTGAAACCCAACATAACCATACAGACAGATGCTTCAAAACTGGGTGGGGATGTGCATTGGGTGACAAAACAACTGGTGGACTCTGGGCCCAAACTGAGTCTTACGAACACATAAATTACTTAGAAACACTAGCAGTTTTTCTGTCACTTAAATCCTTTCGGCATATTCTAAGTGGCAACCATGTAATGATCATGGTAGATAATACCACTGCTGAAAGCATCATAAGAGAAATGGGAACCAGCCATAGTTCAAAATTAAATCAACTAGTAAAACAAATTTGGCAGTGGTGTGAAAGCCAGAAAATATGGATAACAATGGCACACATACCAGGGGTTGAAAACTGTCAAGCAGACTTTCAGTCTCTGTCTTTCAATTGGGGGACTGAATGGTGTCTTAACAAAGACATACTTACCTTGGCATGTAACATGCTCAGGTTTACCCCAGACATTGATCTATTTGCTTCCAGAATCAACCATCAATTCAAACCCTATGTAGCATTTAGACCAGACCCTGAAGCAATTGCCATTAATGCCTTTCACATGACATGGGCTCAATTTGCTTTCTATGCTTTCCCACCATTTAGCGTGATAATGCAAGTGCTACAGAAAATCCAAGAAGATCAAGCCTCAGGGATCCTAGTGATCCCATATTGGCCAACACAGATATGGTGGCCGAAAGCAATGAACATGGTTGTCCAACAGCCAAATAGTTTTGCCAAAAAGCAAGGAACTATTATCCCTCCCCAACCAACCCAACGAGATACACCCCATGTATCCAAAGCTTTGCCTGCTGATATGCCACTTGTCGGGGATCAGCTCAAAAAGCAGGGATTTTCGGACACAGCTTCCAGAGTCATCCAAAACTCTTGGCGAACAGGGACAAAAAAGCAATATGCTTGCCACATTAAGAGATGGATATGCTACTGTAGTAAAAGGGATATTAATCCCATTTGTCCTGATGTGAGAGATGGCATTAATTTTCTCGCAGAACTTCTGGACTCGGGTGTCGGGTACAGTTCCATCAACACTGCACAATGTGCACTTTCATCAATAACAAACATGTCTGATCATTTTAGCTTTGGTACACACCCTCTAGTGTCCAGGTTCCTGAAAGGAGTCTTCACAGAGAGACCAAGTTTGCCGAGATACCAAGATATATGGGACATGAATATTGTCTTAAATCACCTTAAACAGTCTAAAATTGCCAAAGAACTGTCACTGAAAGACTTGACTCTAAAGCTTGTCATGCTAATGGCACTTTTGTCTGGGCAGCGATGCCAGACCCCAAAACAAAAAACCAGAAGCGCAGTTTAAATGTGTTCATACAAGTGAACACAGTGGCTGATTAAAAATAACATTTTCATATACCAGTATAAATAGCGATGAACTTTATTATGCTATGGGCAGTAGTGCAATAAACAGTTTGGACACTTCAAATTTTATTTATGTACAAACGTTACTCTCGACGAAAATGCGCGAGAGAACATAGTGATTCGGATCCGTGTTCGGATACAAATTCTTTGTTAAGGTCACGTGGATTTCCCACAGATTTGTGGAAAGACATCTGATTGGACGGTGCTTTATTTGAATAATTTCTGACAAATGTAGACATTTCATTGGTTTCAGTCAATATAAATTACTCGAAACATTCATAAATTATATAAATCACGGAATATATTGATACTTAATCCTTTTCCGGCTGATAATTTCAGCAAAAATAAAACAAAAGTTACGACATATCTTGCAAAACACTGCTGAAGATGAATCTGATTTAGATTCGAAATATACAGTTTTAATAAATTGTGTGTTAATATTATGCACTCCTTATTCGGAATAACTTTTGTTTTATATTGATACTTCTTTGTTGGAAAATCCACGTGACATGAACAAGGAATTTTCATCCAACTTACAGACCGTTTCGTCTAGAGTAATACACGAATCAAATCGAAACCTCGACATCCCTCCCCCGGCCAAATTCCCTACATATATTTGTAATTCCCGTTCAAATACACCACGTATTGGGAAAACCATGTACGAATTGGAAGCTACGGCATTTCGTAATTTTGGAATTACAAAGTTTTTCTTTCTTTCAAAAACTCTCTTCAATCCTTCAAAGCCATTTTCTTTCAGTCAATTTCAAGGACAAAGTTAATTTCTTCGCACTTGAACTCATCCATTGACGTCACTTTGAATTCAGCACACGTGCAGCCTTGGTACAGCTCGAACAGGCAAACTGAGGCCAATTTTGTGTAATTTTAATGTTTTCAAACTAAGCCAAAACCAATAAGCACTGTGTTATTTAGACCTATAAAAATATTTAGTCAAAATAACCCGGTGGTGATTGGTTTTGGTTAGTTGGAGAACGTAAAAAATATGCAAAAGCCCGAGCTGTAAAATACTCAATAATTATTCATAAGCTTTTTGACAATTAAACCATGGTCCATGTTAACAACTAGAAATACATGCATGCAATAACCCCTCGCCTGTTTTCAAAAGATGTATACTCAGTGCCGTTGCAAGCACTTCGTCTCAGGGGGGGAGGTTAGATTGAAGGGGGGGGGTTACCAAAATGTTTCCAGATGCACAAAACATTTTCAGGACATAATAATTTTTCCGAAAATACAGTTATTTTGCAAATTCACTTTCTCATGTCCTGAGAATTACCTGAATTCCCCTGAAAATCTTCTGCAAATCTACTTAAATTTACCTAAAAGTGCACTGGAAATCTACCTGAAATTCCTCATGAACAATTATCAGGGGTGTTGCCCCCCCCCCAGTGAGTTTCAAGTAAACACTCTCTGATTTATTGTTCATGTATTTCACCTCCCAAAATATTGTGCATCATACTCTAAAGCATTTTGCTGTTGTCATGCTCTAGCGTGGTTCAAATTTATGAATTTTTATTATTATAATGTATAGTGTTTTATGGAGATTTCGAGCACTGATAAAAATGATAATCTCACAGTCACATGTGAAATTATTCATGATAATCTCAAATGTGAAAATTATTGCTTTTCAATTATCGCTTTCCTGTAAAAATTATCACTTTTCAAAGACTGTCCTCTATATAATAAACAGAAAAATACATGGGTGGTTGGAAATACCAGATTTATTTTTCGTGTTGAACATGACATCTCACTCGTTCGCTGCGCTCACTTGTGAGATATCATGTTCAACACTCGAAATAAAGCTGGTATTTCCGCGCACCCATGTATTATTCTCAGATATTGAAACTACAACTTGACTGGTTTAAATTATTATCAAGTTATCAGTGATATCAGATAGAAGTGTTTTGTTTTATATTATTATCAAGTTATCAGTGATCGCAAAACCTCCAAATCCTTAATTTCAAAAGCCACGCCGGGGCTAATGCACTTATCATCAGCTTCCCCGGGGGGTCAACCCCCGAACCACCCAGGGACTTTTGTTAAGAGGATGGAACGAAACATTAACAAAGCCCCTGGGTACAGGGGAAAGTTTAATGACAAAAATCATGTTAGAGCCCCCTACCCCCGGGGCAAAAAAGCAAACATAACATCCCTAACAGAAACAAAATATTATATACAGTAACTGGTGAACTGGATACAAAATACAGCAGAAAAGTAAACAATTTTAAAATAACCGTTCAAAAATTTCAGGTTCAAGCATGTAAAGCATGCACGCTTGAAAGAATTTATTTGCGCATGCGCTGAATTATAAATAATTAGGGTAAGATGAAGTTTATACTATTCGAACTGAATGATTCTTAGATACGAGTAATGTCCATGCAATACAGGCATCGATATCTGATGTCTGATGGTGAAGATGGTGTATGATGGTCGAAGTGTGTCAGATGGTGTATGATGGTGTAAGGTGGTTGTACAGCGAAGGGTTGTCAGATGGTGTATGATGGAGTATGATGGTCATGCAAAGTGTGTCAGATGGTTGTCAGATGGTGTATGATGATGTAGGGTGATTATACAGGGAAGAGTTGTCAGATGAAGATTGTGTATGATGGTCGAAGTGTGTCAGGTGGTTGTCAGATAGTTGTCAGATGGTGTACACGCCCCCTGAGACGAAGTGCTCGCAAAGGCACTGAGTATACACCTTTTGAAAACAGGCGAGGGGTTATTGCAGGCATGTATTTCTAGTTTATTATTACTTACATATACTGTGGCCAACTATGTATATAAAAATATAATATTATATCTCACATTACTGTTCTCATGTGGGAAACGTAATTCAAAGTATTTGGCTAAATATATTTAAATGCATTTGATAGACATGTTCAAGGTAATAAATAAAAATATAATATGAATATACTTCACCACCTGACAACCGATGGTTATATCTATATTGGACATATATGTTAGATATCGCTGACCATATGTGAAACAAAATCCCGCGGGTTTATCCCGGAGGTTAACAGTGCCTGTTACCAAACCCAAACAATTCCCCTTCCCCGAAGGACACTATTTTTTAACAAAAGACAACGAATCCCCTCCTGTTCCTGGGGGTTCCCCCTGGGGTGTCCCAGGGGTCAACCCCCGGGGAAGCCGATGATAAGTGCATAAGGTTCGAAAGGAAATGCCCAACCCCCGGGATGTGCTTTACAGGAAAATGGCTGGGCGAGGGGGATGGGCACACTTGGATTTGGCTGATGCATTAAAAGTCATTGAAAAAGAAATAAATAAAGAATATTTCTACTATAAAATGGCTTATTGTGCTTATTCCTGTGCTTATTCCAGACTGCTTGTCAAATATTTACTTGCAAGAAGTAGAAATTTACTCTGACCACTGGATGAAGAAGACATTAAATAAGTACTGGTCAATAAACAGAAATGTATTTTATTTCATACTATTACAATTTTATTTTTATACTATAAAAATAAAATATAAACATGCAGCCTCTGACATGCAGCATAGAATATGCAAATTCGAGGCAAAATTATTGTTGAATCGGTTTATTTATAGGATTTTATAACAAATAGCAACTATACAACTTTATACCTTGTCTTCACATCGCTTTATTCTGTTAGCCAATGCTTTTAAATTTACATATTTTAGAATCAGTTCCTTTCCTGGTAACTGCATTTCTAAATGAAATCATCGTGAGTAGTGAGTGCTGAGCAGGCCGTTTTACTATAAACAAATTTTAGTAACAACTTTGAAAAATATATCGTTGCACATTCGGTCACAGTCGGGAAAACGTTCATAGTACGTTGTGCCGTCGCTTGCAACGAACGATAAACTCTGGAAGTTGGTTCCATAAAATGGTGGCGCAGCAATAAATTATTTGGTGATCAGTTTCTCTCTTCAAGAGAGGGATATGATGTGGAAGGATCTTGTGTTGAAATAGTGCAACGTCCACTTACGTCGACTCTCCTCACGAACGGCGGTGAGTAAGAATAGGAAATCCTCAGTTTGTGAGTTTATTGGAGCGAAATATTTTAAAAAGAATATTTCCATAAGCTTTTCGATATTTGATATGTCTCATTCCATAAATGAAAGCATTCACGATCGAGTTGATTCCATAAAATTCATAGTTAAAAACTACGTACCAAATCTGGCGGCATGATTCACTGCAAAAACGCTCTATCGTTACCCCAACCGCAGTTGGAATGAAAACACAAAAAGCTAACATCACAAAAACAATTAAAAATGTCTTTGCTGCTTTCAATCCAACGTAGAAACGGAGCATTCGGATCAGTTTCTTGGACGACTGTTCATTGGTAGTGTCGACGACTGTTCATTGGTAGTGCTGTTTCAACAAGGATTCGTCGCCGTTGTTTCCGAGCAATATATAAATTTCGGAAATTAAGAAGAAAGATTAGAATAAGAGGAAGACAGACAATAAAAACATTTATAAGCAAAAAAAAGTCATCTGATATAACGTGGCAAAAGCTTCTTAATTTGAAGTCAAATTTCTCCCAATAATTTAGAAATACAATGAAAAGACAACATGCAGTTAACCAAATTCCAGAAATCGCTAGCAAAACTCGTCGTTTTGTCACAATCAGCGGATACTTGAGAGGTTTTAAAATATATAAATATCGATCAACAGTAATGGCGAGAAGTGTAGCCACTGAAGCGAACAGCAATGCCCAGATGGTAGAACGACTTAACTTACAAAACAGATCTTGATCACTATCAATGTTTAATATAGTTTGTATAAACTCAATGATCCATATTGGATAAAGTGTTAAACACACGAGAAGATCTGCCAGTGCCAAGTTTCCGACCAAGTAAGATGTCGCTGTCTTCTCTTTGCTCCAGAAAATTGTATAAGTTATAACTGTTATATTTCCCAAAACTCCAATAATCATCGCAATAAA